AGTTATTTTTCTAGAATGACCATGCCTCAATGATATAGAAGGGAAATAATCAGTTATTTTTCTAGAATGACCATGCCTCAATGATGTAGAAGGGAAATAATCAGTTATTTTTCTAGAATGACCATGCCTCAATGATATAGAGGGGAAATAATCAGTTATTTTTCTAGAATGACCATGCCTCAATGATATAGAAGGGAAATAATCAGTTATTTTTCTAGAATGACCATGCCTCAATGATATAGAAGGGAAATAATCAGTTATTTTTCTAGAATGACCATGCCTCAATGATATAGAAGGGAAATAATCAGTTATTTTTCTAGAATGACCATGCCTCAATGATATAGAAGGGAAATAATCAGCAGAGATTCGATTACTCATTACAAAAAAGATTTTTCTTAGAAGACCGGACTTGATTTAAAATTAACACGCTTCTAGATATAAGTTTTAAAACTCAACACTTTAGGCTTAAATTCTGTAGCAGTTCTTTGTTGTTTACTAATTATTATTTTATCAATGATAATGTGTAAAGTTATTTTAGTGGTCGATTAAAACAAATTTATAAACTCCCAATAAATGTTTCCTTATAAAAGCATTGATGCAAACATCTTTTCGTGATTTAGCGTTGATATGATGAAAGTACAATATGTCGTTATCTATATATTAATTTAAGAAAACTATACATACATACATATATCTTGTAATAACACCACGCGAGCTCTGATACCTGTTGTTCAATATCACTTTCTGGAATATAGTTAATCAGGCGTATACTTTTTTGCAGTTATCTGTGTTTTCTATGGCTGTAGTATTCCAAGTCGCACTAGGCCAATAAATACGAAGATTAATTAATACCATCATAACAGGTGGTTTCGAGAATGCAATAAATTAAACTCGACCACAAATATAAACACAGGAAACTGGAAGTTTTACTTTAAAAGCATCGCTTTTATTTCTTCATAAAACATAGTAATGCAAGTGAAAGATGCGTCCACAGCAACCAGGAACACAGTATCTCTGTCTCCATATATGATCAATAGGAGATATTCGTTAAAAAACTAGTCAACAACTTATCAAGCGAGCTATTCATATATAGATAAATGCATTATTGAACTAATTCTTCTGACCAGTTAACGTAGTTTAAGGTTAGGCATGTCTGTTTATCTGGAATATGTAACTGAATCCTGTATTAAAATTTTGAAAATGTGTGTATATATAAACATATAGTTATTTACAAATTATGGGCAGGTTCGGTTTATGATATCTACATGTTACACGGCGTCGTTCCCTAACAGTAGCATATGCTTTTGATGTGTTTGAATTAATACTGAATAATCAACCACGTGACAGAAGACATGGAGGAGTAACTTTTCCATGGGCTACAAGTGTGGAACAGTTTTTTCATTTTTAATAACGTAATTTGTTTGAAAGCGGAGAAGATGAAAAATAATTATTTCATACCGCTAATACCTCGCTAAATATGATTTGTCGCTAGACCATTAACCTCTAACTATAGCTTGGGGAGATGGGAGGACCTTTCCAAGACCTAGAAGGAAGGGTACCAAAGCTATCAAATATTAGGATGCGTTACAATTTCTTTTACATTACTGTGTCATGTGAAGAAAAGTAGGAACATATAAAATAGTGATGTTTTATTCTAAGCCTAATACTATAAAACATACACTTTTAAATTGGTGAATAATATTTGTTCATAAAAACAGTACGGTACCTGTAAACTTTGCAAGTAAATTAATGATTGCTAGCAGAAACACTGCAAAGAAGAAATCAGATAAACTAATGTACGTCGAAGTTTTTTTAGATTTCTATCAACAGGTGGCACTAGGAAAGTTGCATTTCATAGATTTAGAGAGAACTATTTTCTGCTCATTCGTATAAACTCTTAGAAAATTCGTACATACAGACAGTAATCTTGTGTCATTTAACTCAAACACAAGTTGCTTTGGACGATGAGTAGAGAAGTGTGTCAAGATCGAAGATAAGTTCTATTTACTTGAAGTGGTGCTTTCTAAACAACTGTCCTGTGCTGGGACAGTGGTAAGTCTATGGATTTACAAAATGAACATTTGGGATCGATTCCCCGCAGTGGACACAGTTCCATGTGAATAGTCAGTCAAGAGGTTCAACAAATAATAGATAGTGAAGTAGAGAATAGATCCTAATTGTTCTTGTCGTAATTTGTTAGTCAGTACAGTCAGAAATGTTAATAAGTTCAAGTACTAGTCTGAGAGTAAATTTTCCCCGAGTACTACTTTTTCTGAATGTTACTGCTTGTTTGAAAGACAAGATTAAAGACCCTACAGTGTAGTAACTTTGAAATTTTATACCTTTAATTGATTTTTTTTTCTTCAGATAACTACTCTAGTCAATGCTAAAGAAAAGCCCATTAAGTCCGAGAAAACTTTACGTGCCATTGTACGAGTTGGTCAAGCCGTCAATTTAGCAGTTGAAAGGTTTGTGTCCGTGGGGGAAGCTATTGCAGATGATAATCCTGAGATTAAAGTTGACATGTATGAAGCCTGTAAAGATGCCAGGGCTGCAGGTACAGGATTCATTTTACTTTACTATGATTTCCTTTTAAGGAACAACACAAAACATGCGAATTGTTGTTTATATTTGTTGTGTTGGTTTAAAACACCGGGAGATTTAATGTGCTCTGTTGACTCACATTACCAACAATTGCATCGAAGCTTACAATTAAGAACAAAGTAAGGGCTACCAATTTAGTTGTTCCTTAACAATAGTTTATGTTCTTGATGTAATTAGATTGATAATGAATAATTAACCAGTGGTGCACATGAGTAACGACATGGAAGAGTAACTTTTTACATTCCTCAAGTACAACTTTTCCATGAGCTGTAACAAACGTTAAGTTCAAGTCCCAGTGTAATAGTAACTTTTCACATTCCCCAAGTACAACTTTTCCATGAGCTGTAACAAACATTAAGTTCAAGTCCCAGTGTAATAGTAACTTTTCACATTCCCCAAGTACAACTTTTCCACGAGCTGTAACAAACGTTAAGTTCAAGTCACAGTGTAATAGTAACTTTTCACATTCCCCAAGTACAACTTTTCCACGAGCTGTAGCAAACGTTAAGTTCAAGTCACAGTGTAATAGTAACTTTTCACATTCCCCAAGTACAACTTTTCCACGAGCTGTAACAAACGTTAAGTTCAAGTCACAGTATGCAAGTAACTTTTCACATTCCCTAATTACAACTTTTCCATGAGCTGTAATAGACGTTAAGTTCAAGTCCCAGTATGCGAGTAACTTTTCACATTCCCCAAGTACAACTTCTCCATGAGCTGTAACAAACGTTAAGTTCAAGTCCCAGTGTGAGAGTAACTTTTCACATTCCCCAAGTACAACTTTTCCATGAGCTGTAACAAAGGTTACGTTCAAGTCCCAGTGTGAGAGTAACTTTTCACATTCCCCAAGTACAACTTTTCCATGAGCTGTAACAAGCGGTAAGTTCAAGTCACAGTGTGAGAGTAACTTTTCACCTTCTCCGGGTACAATTTTAGACAAATAAACACTTGAAATAACATAAAAACAACGTCTTCACTTCAAGATTTGCTGGGAAAGCTAACAAGACAATTATATTAAGCCCACGTTATCATATAATTCGAAATCAACAGAATGTTAGACTATCAAGTGTAAAACAAATATACTTTTTTTTCTCCTTGCGAGGTTGGGTTGTCAGTCCTCAATAAATATCCATCTTTTCTCCATAAAATAGCCCATTGTTTATCTCTGCGCTAAAAAACAACAAGGACAAAATTTGTTATGCATAATGAAATTTAAAAAAAAATGCATGTTGCTAAACGAAAATTAGAATGAAAAAAATTAACTCAAGATTGGTTTCACCTGTCATACATACTTGCAGTTTTAATGTCATGGAAATAATATATATAACTTTGAAAACATTTTAATATGTTTGAAAGATCAGTCTTGAATTTTAAAAATTATATTAATTTTTAAGATAAAGGACTAACAAAGCTATGGATATATAACAATAGTTTATTTATCTTCAAATATGAATAAGATAAACAACTGAAAAATTCTTAGAATGAAACCATAGACTTTATATTAACAATGTGTATTTTTTAAGCTGGTTTGATATGATGAAAATTGATAGCTTTCAAGCAAAGACATAATGTACGTTAATCCTCAAAAAATTCTCATTGTTCTCTTTTTTCGTGTACACAGTTTTCCAAAGTTGCATGTAATCGACCTCATCTTTTTAGATGAGAGTAATGGAAAAATTTATATTTATAGCCGCGGCATAGCGGCTCATGAAATGGCTCTGAGTTTTGTTTGTTTGTTGTTTTCAAATACAAATGTTTAGCTTATAGCTCCGTCATCTCTTCACCGATTTGAGATCAAACTACAGTTTTGGACTCAGGATGTCAAACCCTTTTGTTTGATATATTTGACCACGCCCAAGGTCTCATAGATTAATTTACTCTAATCCTGCCTAAAAGAATTTCAAGTGCCGTGGCTATTGATGATTCCCTCTTGTCTAATAAAGATTTTAATTGAATCTCCTTTAATTTATTGAATCCTTAAACTTGAAAAAAGCTGAAGTTTTAAATAAATCAACATTGAAGTATTTTGAGAACAACGTCTTCATATAGCAATTTTCACCAAAGAACCATTTTAAGAACAACGGGAAATGTAAAATATTCCTTGATCCTGATTACTTAGCCCTGGATGGAAAGGCAACAGTATCAATGTTTCCTCGAGTGTCTACCTTTGACAAGTGTTATGCCAGGGACAAGGATATTTATTCTATTTCAGCTGTTTCCAAAATAGTTCCAAATAAGTAAACAAATAAGTTCTTTTGTTATCTTTGCCAGGTTGGGTAGCCAAGAACCAATAAAGATCCATATTTTCTCCATAGAAATAGCTATCTTATGGCCAATTATTCGATCCACTTATCATCTGAATTGTCTTTTAAAAGACAGAATGAAGTCTGTTAGTTCCCCCTTGTTGCTTCAAGTTTGCTTTGTGCTACATTAAATGCAGATAAGGTCAAATTCGTAAACATTTGTCATAAACTCTAAAATTTTGTATTCCTAGCATACATGTGAACGCCAAGATGAGAAAAGGGAAATCCAACACTGGATTATTAGATGGTGAACTGACGAGTAAGCAAGGTTATAGAAGATTCAAAAAAATAGTTTAAATTATTCATGACAATTACATTTGAAGAAGTGCATAAAAGCAATTTACAGAGTGGGTTCAGACCAAGATGTGGCATAAGGGAAGGTATTTTTAATCTGAGAAGAATCTGTGAACGCGTCATAGAGGTACAACAAAATGTATAAATATGCTTTATAGATTACACTAAGGCTTTTGATTGGGTAAAACACTTAAAGATGATACAATGCTTACGGGAGATAGGAACTGATGAGAAAGATCTCTAGATCATCACAAAGATGTATTGGAAACAAAGAGCAGTAGTAAGAACAGAACAGAGAGTAACACCAGAGTTTAAGATCAAGAAAGGCATAAGACAATGATGTGTATTATCGTCTAGTTTGTTCAATCTACACACAGAAAAAATATTTAGAGAAAAAGAACATATAAAGGAAGTAGTAGATATGGAGATGACACAGCACTACTAACTCTAAGTGTATCAGATCTACAAGTAAACGAACTAAATGAAAAAGGAAAAGACAATGGAAAGACCAAATCAATTGTAATAACTAAGAACCAATATGTACCTAAAATCAGTCTACTTATAGAGAGAACATCAATTTAACAAATTAAAAAGTTATATATTTAGGACACATGAACACCGAAGATGGTGAGAGGGAAGTGGAAATTCAATGAAGAATAGAAATAGCCAGGAGTGTATTTAACAACATGTCAAAAATTAACATAACAACACGGATGACACTAGTCGTATGCTATGTGTGGTCAACCCTATTATATGGTGCTGAAACATGAACAATATCTAAAGCGACTCCTAAAAAGATTGAGGCATTTGAAATGTGGATCTATAGGAGAGTACTGAAAATATCTTGGACATGACATAAGACAAATTAAGAAATGTTGAAAACTAGAAGAACACTATTGTAACATACGAAAAGAAAATGTGAATAATTTGGACATGTAATAAGAAGAAATGGAACACAGAGACAGTTGCTAGAAGGAAAAATGAATGGGAAAAGAGTAAGAGGCAGACCAAGAAATATGTAGATGGATAACATCAAAGATTGGATTCCTATAGAGTAACTGTGTTAGAATGGCGGAAAGAAGAAAACAATGGCGCTCCATGAAAGTCATTCTGATTTGAGTAGATGACACATGATGATAATATACCTTTTTCTACCATCTCGTTCTTACTGAAAAGGCTATCAAGACAATTATATTAACCATACTTTATCACATAAATTAAAATCAACAGAATGTCAAACGATCAAGTGCAAAATAAAAACAAACATTAAAATTTCCCAATAAATGTGAACCCTGGATTACCACACCATTTCCCTTTCACAAAAGAGCATCTCCTCCTTGTCACGTGCAATATACAACCAAAATATAAATAATGAACTGCAGAAACACAACATATCTTGAAGTTAATATTACATCACAGATTAAGCTCTGATCTGTACTTTAATATCCTTCTATTGTCATTTAGATATATTTTTGTTGAAGGTCCTTGTAGATTAAGATAATGTTTTTTTACATTTAAGTTATTTTACTACATTCACAAAGATGTGTTTAATTTGTACTATATAATAGTTTAATTAAGCAATAAATTCTCTCACTGTATCGTTAAAGATGCGTATGTATTGTAAGGCATAAGAATGTCTTCCAAATACCACTATACGCACATTGTTCAGCACCCAGACTTAACCTGTGCTGCTATATAGATACAATATTTAGAACTGTATATACGACCTAATTTTATAGTGCCTTAGCGTTAACCTGTGTCTTCACACACACAAAATAAAACATACACTTACAGTCTTTCCTCCAGTGGGATACATAATGGTTGACAAATAACGCAGGTAAGTTAATCATATACAATCAAACCTTCAGGAGTATTCAACATTACATACGTTTCTCAGCCAACGTAGTTCAAGTTTGTTTTTACAGATTTTCTACTTGTGAGTACCCACGTTATTTTACTCAATGGCTGACAGGAGACAGGAATGTGGACCTACTTTTTCTTCACTGGTTAATTTATTAGTGACTGACCTAAACAGGAAAATATTTTCCTACTTTTTCATTTCCACTTCTAAATATTTCAACAGTGTTTATTTTCATAGTAGATTTGTTCATAGGAAGGGTGGCTAGTAAAATCAGTCGAGTTTTTCTTTTTCCATATTCATGCCTTCTTTTATGTTGTGATGAGCTCTTTTATCTTTTCAACACTAATACTTCAGATGAGAAGACTCATATAAATCAAGCTGGATGTTTTCTGATAGGATTGGTTCTGTCAGTGGTTATCAGTTTGGGAAATTTTATTTGCACTTTTGCTGAGTTGTAGTAATACACACTTCGATATATCTTGGTATCCTTTTAAC